TTTTAACTGTAAAAATGAGCTAAAAATTTCTATTAGTATTTGTACGGGGATTGCCAATAACTTGCGACTAAGGGACTTACCATTAATAGCTCTAAACACTATATCCGTATTTCAATTGGTTTATTCCTTAATTACTCAATACAATTCTTATTTATCGCAATTGGTTCGGTACTTCTTCTGTGATGGGCATGGATATTTCTCTGGCTTTGGTCATACCTTAGTGGGTCGTTTCATTCAGCACAGACATCATAGAGAATTCAATTACCAGTCGCAACAGATAATTTACTATTTCTTTGTTTAAGCTTCTAGACATGCGGTTTCGAGCTCCTACAAATTCTTCAAAAAATTGAATTATCAGTCACCACATTTAAAGATTTATTGCGTTAATTCACTACTTCTTTGTTTAAGCTTCTAGTCATTTGGTTTTAAGCTCCTGGAAAAGAACCCAAGTTCGCCTTCCCACGACATTCAGAACGGGCTATAATAACAAATCATGGAAGTCGAGAAGAAAAAAATACTAGAATAGATTTTTCGACTGTAATTGTTAATGGAAAAGGGAGTCTGAGGGGTTGAAAACACTAAAATCTGGTACCAAGTTCATTTTAATGCAGACCATAGTGCAAAATGAATGGTTGTTTCTTAAAGAATATACAAAGTTAAGGTAATGAGACAGCCCTTATTTTATTAAAAAGATTACATATCGACTTCCACTTGCAGCAAACTGCGAAAGATCTAGTAGTACTACTACTAATTACTATTCCCATGGGGTCATTCCCGCCAATAACATTTAAACATTTCTTCTTTTTCTTGACTGCTGGCCACCAGCTCCTTTATGTATCTCAAATACACAGATACTTGTCCAAAGCAACCAAGATCTGTGTATTTGACATAAATATTTATTGGAATCCTTGACTTAACATTATTAGTCTTGTGAGGGGGTGCACCCTCATCCTAAAGACACTTGGCACCAAAACTGAAATTTTTTTATCTTTTTCCTTCTTAAAAGAACAAGCAGATCCTTGCTTCCCCTCAACAACAACAGAACACACACAACATGAGGCAAAACACATTCAACAAAGACACCAAGGACAACCAAACAATGTATCACCAAAGAAGACAAGGATGAATGTGCTGAACATGATACTAGGAGGAGGGGGGGGGAGGGTTTGTGAGAACAGTTCAGGGAGGAATGTAGTAGAAGGAAGAATGGCAGAGTTGTACTAATACCAACTGACTTGGAACCCAGGGTTGACGTTACCGTGATGGATGACATTTATGTTTGCAAAAGGTTTAGAAACCTAACCAATGAGCCAGTAAAGTGTGCCTGAAACGATTTAATTGTAGGAACGGTGGGGACTGTCGTGGAAGAACGAGTTTAGTATTCTGTGGAAGCATTTGTAGAATTCATTCATCAAACACAGTTAGTCATGTAGTTTCTCATTGGAGAGGTAGCAATGGAACCCAGCCATTACATAAATTTGAAACCATATAGTAGTGGAATCATTGTTACACAATATGTGATTCAACCAACAACAAGTTTATTTGAGAGTAATCTACTATTTACATGTGAAAATCTTGCTTTTCAATCCAAGAGTTGTGATCAGAGGTTACTGTCATCATTACTGTTGAGGTTGTGTATCACAACCCCCAAAATAAAAAATATTGAGCAGTGGTTGAGCAAGTATGGGTTGAAATAACAGCAGAATAAATTTGGAGTGCAGAGTGAAAGGCATTGTTGTGTCACAAAAATAATCACAAAAGGGGATCCTCAGTAAGCTTGATAATCATGACTTCACTGTGTTAAGTGCTCACGCAAAAACTACACATGCCGGGTTGCAACCAAACCTTGCAAACACTTTTTGTGATGGGCAGGTGTGTACAATCCTCTTGTGAGTAATAATGCAAGCATCCAGATTCTTCTGTTGTGGAGGATGCAGGAGGTTTCTAAGAGGGGGGAAGAGTGCCAGCACCATCTTCTTGGGAGGTAAGATCTTGGTGAAGAGTGGGGGGGTGACCTTGAAATCCTGTATGTGCTATGCGTCCCTCACCCACCTCAGCAATGAGTGTGCCTCCATCACATCTCCTTGGAGGGGGGAGATGTCGCTCCTCAGAGCAGCTAGGAGCATCCTTCCCCCAAAGAGTTCTAGTTCTGGCCAACATGATAATGCCTCTTCTATCCATGAGGTCAAACATAACTTGAAGATATTTTTTACTACTTTGCAATGAGAAAAGATTTTCTGTCTCTGGAAAGAAAAAACAACATATTTCTTGAACTAAAAACAATAAACCACAGGTTTAGATAAGATGTAATCTGGGGGAACTTTACTACTACAAATATCATAACAAGTGATTGCCACACTAAGAAATTGGTTCCCATTGTTAATTGAATGATGCCATCCTTATTTTTTCAGTAAAAATTCCTACAAAAGCTCTACTGTGTGTTGCTCCCCAAAGTTTTCAGCATGATTTTCCTTCTGAGAAAGAAGCAGGATTGGTTCTGTGCCACCAGAATAGTTGCAAACTACCTCAGTAGATTTTGTACTATGTTCTACTTTGCTAAGGATGGCATCGTTAAATTAACAATGGGAACCCAATTTCTTAGTGTGGCAATCACTTGTTATGATATTCATAGTAAGAGCCAATGGCTTGAAAGAAAAGCAAGTTCAAATTATCAATTCAAGAATTGTAAAACCTTGAGACAAACTCCCAGAAGACATTGCTTATGCCATAACATACTAGAGTAATACAGACAGGTGTGCAACAAATGAT